TTTTGGATATGTAATATTGAATTCTTCAATGAAGAACTTACCTTATTAATTATTTGGTTACTCTGGTTATTTTTGAGTGTGTGGTGGACATTTCATTCGTTAAATATTTTGTAGAAATAATATGAAGCCTTAATGATGTTTTCCACTCCCAGAGGAGATTTATGCTTGCATTTATTGGATGCATGAAGGCACTAACACCAGGATCTCATTATTCCAACTTGAGAGATTAAGGTATTCTGAGAGATGAGAGCTGAGGTGCTCTCTCTTTGAAGACCTACTTTCAGTTTACTCTAACTCCTAGGACTCAGCCTCTTCTGGCTTATCATTGGTAGGCATTGGATACCAATCCTTGTTGCTGTAGCCCCTCATCGCTGTCAAAAGCACCACTCAGCTTCTCAGCTTCCCTTTCCAGAATTAGAAAAGCCCCCAGTGGGAAAAGTAGCTCTAATGCCATTCCTGGGCTGCCTTCCCAAGATCCTGGCCCTAGATTTACTTACTTACTTGCTTACTTACTTACTTTCTTACTTTATTTATTTATTTATTTACCATCTTCTTCGCGTGTAGATTTTAAAAAATGTGTTTTCCAGTTTTTCTCCAGCAAGGAGAATTTTTCCAGATTATTTGTTACTGGAAGCAAAAGACACAATAATTACTTTTAAAAAAGTCTGTTTCTTATTCAGTTTTATTGTTTTATTTACTAGTTACTTTCAGGAGACTATTTTATACTGTTTAATTATAAATGAGCTAAATACAATTTAAGGTATTGATTCTTTTTTAAGATGTTTCATTTCTAAAGAACTAATGAATACTGGAGCATAAACAACTTCTATATTTATGTAATGAGGAGCTGTCCCCATTTAGATATATAAATTCTTATAACTTTTCTAAGAATTTTATTCTTATCACAATATTGGCACATAAAACAAAGTACAAGCCATTCTTCTCTATCAGTTATTACAGTCTGCTTCAAGATATTTATTCGGCTGTTTATTATATACTACATTGTTTAGTTTGAATTTTAAAATTAATTTTAAGATAGGAAACTAGGGGGCCAGCCTGGTGGCGCACTGCTACAGTGCGCCGCTTGGGAGCACAGTGGCGCTCCCGCCGAGGGTTTGGATCCCACATACAGACCGGCTGCTCACTGGCTGAGCGAGGTGCAGACGCAACACCGAGGGTTGCGATCCCGTTGCCGGTCCCGGTCCGGTACAGGCGCGACACTGAGGGTTGCGATCCGTTGCCNAAAAAAAAAAAAAAAAAAAAAAAAAGATAGGAAACTAGCATCGCCATATAAATATTTATAATTTGTATTCTGCTAATTCAAACTAGCCTTGTCTGATATTAGTCCCCATTCATAAGGCTTCTATGCTATTATTTTCTGAATGCTTTTAAATGGACTTTATAGAATGTATAGGAAGACCAATCTCTTTACCATGATATTACCTTGTCGAAAACAAGGTTTTAAATTTGGTTTGATGTGTTGTAAGATGCTTTTAAA